AGAGAAGAATGGAGAAGAGAAGAATAAAAAGAGAAGAGAGAAGAATGGAGAAGAAGGAGAATAGAAAAAGAGAGAATAGAGTAGAATAAAATACAATAGAGAAGAGAAGATAGAAGGATGGAGAAGAGAAGAAGGAGAAAAGGGAAGGGAAGAGGAGAGAAGAGGAGAGGAGGGGAGAACTATCTAACTGGACAGACAGATTTCATTTAATGGACTGTATATGTTTAAAAAGTGTAAAATACGTACGTATAAACAAATCGCACGTAAAAACAGGACCCCCCTCACTGATTCCCAAGTCCCATCGGATCATTGGTTCAGATCAAGGTCTTGGACTCAAAGTTCTCTGGATTTTATATCCCTCCCTCCCTCTCTCTTCCTGCCCTTCCCTTCAGGGACCCAAAGGGCAAAAGAGCTTTTGATGGCCTCGTGCCATCCACCAGACTCCCAATCCAGGACAATTAAGCCCCCATTCCCACCCACAACTCTCCAAAACCTTTCACTGTCCCACCCTGGAGGGTCTTGGGTAGAAGGCCCTACCTTCTCCTCTCCCTGAGGCCCCCGCCAGAGTCCGAAACGTCTGAATCAGGGGTGGGATTCTACCGGTTCGCACCTATTTGCTAGAACCGGTTCTTAACCTTCTAAGCAGTTCGGAGAACTGGTTGTTAGAAGAAATTACAGGGCTAATCCTGTAAGGAAGGCAGGAAGGAAACATTCTGGTGTTGCTGACAGAAACTGCCTCTCCGTTAACCCTTATTGCATTCTTGGCAGGACTAGACTTCCTGTCTCTGGAACCTCTCTGGAGTTTTTTTCCCCTCCTTTGCTTGTGTGGAGTGACCATTCAAAGTTATAATGGCACTGAAAAAAGCAACTTATGACCATTTTTCACACTTATGACTGTTGCAGCATCCCCACAGTCACAAGAGGTCAGGCGAGGAGATGCGTGCCTCGATGTGAGTGATATTGAGTTGGCCACGCCCAGCCCATAACATGACCACCAAGCCACGTCCACCCAGTCACATGACCACCAAGCCACGCCCACCAACTAAGCCACACCCACAGAACCAGTTGTTAAAAAATGTGAATCCCACCCCTGGTCTGAATACCTGAGATTTTAATTTTCTTGACCATCTTGTTGGTGTTGTTGGTCACATGGACGTTAACGTTGATGGGTTCTCCATGGTAATAGATCTATGGGGAGACAAGCCACAGGTGGAGAAGGCCTTCAAGAGGAATCTACGTGGAAGGAATTCTCCTTCAGGATCTCCAATCATGGAACACCCTTTTTCTAGGGCTCCCCAATTCCACCCAGATCTTCTGAGACCCCCCCCTGCCCCTCCAAAATAGGTTGCCCCAGCCAGTTCAAGCCTGGTATCTGTTCTGACCCAAACCTTGTTCCAAGGAATCAGACACAAAATGGAGGTAACAGCAAAACCTTTTCATGATTCTTTGCGGATTCTGTTCCTTCCCGGTTCAAAGGCTGTTTCAAACTCATTGTCTCTGATAAGAAGGAGCCTTGCCAAGGTGGTGCAAGGCTGCCAAGAACACTCGATAAAGTTGCCAAGAAATAGTCCAAACACAAAGAATCTCCAAACACCAACCAAGATACTCTGAACGTCCACAAGGCTTGAGTGCAAAAACGTCTTTGCTTCCTGCAAAGAACTCCGGTTTCTCAGCTGGCTTTTATCTCTTCAGGGAGGGGCCACTACTCTGCAGCCTTACTCCTGAGTCGCCCGTGTTGCTGCAGCTGCTCTTTCCTTCAAGCAGCCCTGCATGCACACACACACTGGGCACAGGCTCCTCGGGGGCCTCTTCCTCACTGCTGCCAGCCTCCACAATCTCCAAAGGCCACATTCCACTCCCTGCGGGTCCTGGACCCATCCCTGCCTCACACGCAGGCCCCTCATCCGAGTCCTCGCTCTCCGAGACCTCAGCCATCTGCACCTGCTGCCAGTGAACCACAACACAGACATATGCAGTTCCTGCAACCATTCTTCATATCTTTTAGCGTTCAGTCCCCCGATCATCTATGTTGCTCTTAACAGACTTAACAGATAATCAGAGTTGGAAGGGACCTTGTAGGTCATCTAGTCCAACCCCCCGCCCAAGCAGGAGACCCTACACCATCTCTGATAGATGGGAGTCCAGTCTCTTCTTGAAAGCCTCCAGGGATGAAGCTCCCGCAACTTCCGAAGGCGACTTCTGTTCCATGGGTTGATTGTTCTCCCTGTCAGAAAGTTTCTCCTTATTTCCAGGTTGAATCTCTCTGTTGACTCATAGAACATTCCTACGCCTGTTTTAGCAGTTGTCATAAAAAAAAGGGGAGAGGGGGTGGAAGGAAATCTGGAAAACTGGAAGAGTGCAGCAGTTTGTAAGTGAAAGTACATTCCAACTCTTCTCTTAAAAAGATTGTAACTAAACTACCAGAGCTTTTGCCCAGGGATATATTTAATTGGAGAACATGATTGATGACACACAACCTGTGAAGATGCTCAATTGGAGAATCTGATTTATGACACACCCAGGGAGGAAAGAGGGGAAACAGGGTCACAGGGGACTGGAAATGATCTAGGCCAGAGTTGGCTTCATACAGGGCAGTGCCAGGATGTTGCCTCTAATTAAACTTTGGAAGTGTTTTGAAGTTTGGCTCGAGAATCACAATTTAATTTGGGTGATCGCTGGAATCCTGACTCCTTGATCAGTTTCCATCCATTATTCCTTGTCTGGCCTTCAGGTGCCTTGGAAAATAGCTTGACCCTTTCCTCCTCTCTGAGGCAGCCCCCCACTATTGGAAGACTGCTATCCTGTCTCCCCTGGTCCTTTTCTTCCCTAGACCAGCCAGGCCCAGTTCCTGCAACCGTCCATCATAAGTTTGAGCCTTCAGTCCCCTCATCATCCTGGTTGCTCTTCTCTGCACTCTTTCCAGAGTCTCAACATCCCAAATCCATAAACTCTGCTAGGGCTGTAGATCTAGATCAGGAATCAAGACTGGTCTACATTGTTGGAGGACGTTCCATCATATTGGACCACGACCGGATCTTCTCACTTGCCTGGTGGCCCACCACCAACCCCCAAGAGAAGTCGCCCAACTCAAATACCTCTTTATCCAGTGATGCTTCTAAATGGAGGGGCTTGTCGGACATGAGGAATTGCCTGGTGGTCTCAGCCATGGGCTGCGGGCCGGGCCGCTCGGGCGCATACTGGACTTTGCGGATGACCAGGCGCACAGAGTTCCTGCAGCAGCAATTGGGGATAAGACAGACAATCTCACAACGCGACACATTACCCAGGCCAGTGGTGGCTAACATTTTTGGGCTCCTGTGCCGAAAATCGTGCGCGTGCTTACATGCTCGCACTCATGTGCCAGCACCCGCAAGGCAATGAGTGCGCCCCCAAGCCCCCTATGCATGCGTGCACAATCCCCACCTACCCACCCCTTACTTGCACTGCGCCTCACAGCTGATTTTTGGCTAGTTTGAGGCCTTTTTTTGGCCTCCCAGAAGCTTGAAGAAGGCTTCTGCAGGCTTTGCAGGCCGAAAACTAGGCCCGTTTCGTCACTTCTGGTATTTTTGGAAAAACAGGAAGTGACGAAACGGGCCTAGTTTTCGGTCTGCAAAGCCTGCAGAAGCCTTCCTCAAGCCTCTGGGAGGCCAAAAAAAGGCCTCAAACCAGCGAAAAATCAGCTGTGAGGCGCGCACATGCGCAGTGAGGTAAGTTTGCCTGCAGCTTGAGTGCTGGCACAAATGGCTGTGCGCGCCATAGGTTTGCCATCATAGACCCAGGCTGTCTCTAAAGTCTTAGGACTACAGCTCTTGGGACTACAGGACCCAGAATTCCCCAAATGGGACATACAGTATACAGGGAATTCTCGACTTAACGACCGCAATGGAGCCTCAAAATTTCCACGGCTCCAGCCGTTTTGTCGCATGGCACGTCGTCCTGGCCAACTTGCCATAGGGCAATTCAGTACGGAATAACTCAGGAGAGGGACTACTAAATTGCTGACGTTTTTGTCTTGCTTTAGGGTTGAACTTCCTAAGGTTAGAAGAGCTTGAGGCTCTGTGTGTGTGTGTGTGTGTGTGTGAGAGAGAGAGAGAGAGAGAGAGAGAGAGATGCAATTCACTTGTCCCTCTCTTGAGTTATCCTGCCTTGAATTGTTATTTATTGGGTGTCAAACTGGAAGAAAAACAACTTAAAGAAACAATGACTGCATGGGCAATAAACTTTGGATATGTTATAGAATTGGAAAAGTGGCAGAAACTATGGGATAAAAACTATAAATTGACAATATCGACAGCATATAAGGAGAACTTGCATAAGATGTTTTATAAACGTTTAAAGATAAATCAACGAAATGTTCGAAATGTCACCAAACACCAGGAACATATTATCATATGTGGTGGACTTGCACAGAGGCGAAAAGGTATTGGACTAAAATACACACCTGGTTGGAAAAAATGATTAAACAACATATAGATCTGAAACCTGAAATATTCCTATTAGGAATGGTACCAGAAGGTTACTGTAAAGAAAAGATTTATTTAATTATACATGTACTAACAGAGGCTAGGATTGTATTTGCCCAAAATTGGAAAAGTGATAAAATACTGATAGAAGGGAAAAATAAATGAAAAAAATATTTGAATGTGCAGAAATGAATAGATTAACACTAGAAACACTAGAAATTAAAGAGAAAGAAGAAACTGAATATTACACGGTATGGAATATGTTTTATCAATGGATAGAGAACAGAACAAGCTAAAAAATTCCACCCACGCTTTTTACAATTTTGTAAACAACACACTAAAAGACTCAAGGTCCATCCCACCTAATGGTAAAGACCGCAAGGACGACACTATTAAAGCCAACCTCTTTAACACATTCTTTGGCTCAGTATTTGTAAACAGCAATGGATCAAACCCAGTACTTCCTAGTCGAACCACAGACAACTACAATGATCTAATACATATCGATTTTACAGAAGACAATGTTGAAAAAGCACTACGCAATCTAAAACCATCCCTATCTGTTGGACTGGATGGAATATGTGTCTACTTCTTAAAAATGCTATCCACTGCCATAGCTGAACCTCTAAGCATAATCTTTCAAAAATCTTTCAGGACCAGCTCCTTGCCAAAACTATGGTCACAAGCCACGGTCATCCCCATCTTCAAAAAGGGAGACCCCAGCCTGGTTGAAAATTACAGACCAATCTCTTTATGCTGTATCACCTGTAAAGTCATGGAATCAATTATTAACCAATCCATCATCTTCCACTTAGAGACAAACAACCTACTCTCCAATAAACAATCTGGTTTCAGGAAAAAGCTATCCTGCAATCTGCAACTCTTACACTGCAAAAACATATGGACGACACAACTTGATCAGGGTAAAGCAATAGATGCAATCTACATAGACTTCTGTAAAGCCTTTGATTCAGTGGTACACGACAAACTACTCCTAAAACTAAAATCTTACGGTATCTTTGGACAACTGCATAACTGGATAGAAGCATTCCTGTCAAACAGACAACAAATGGTCAAAATTGGGAGCATCCTATCAAACTCTGTGCCTGTCAACAGTGGTGTCCCCCAAGGCAGTGTTCTGGGACCAACTCTCTTCATACTCTACATAAATGACCTCTGTGATCATATCAAGAGCAACTGTGTTCTCTTCGCTGATGATGTAAAGCTGTTCAATACCACAGACAATACTGCTACCCTTCAAAAAGACCTCGACTATGTATCAGAATGGTCAAACAAATGGCAACTTCAAATCTCAACAAATAAATGCTCTGGCTTACATATTGACAAAAAAAATCCGAAAATAAAATACACGCTAAATAGTCAAGACCTTGTTGATGATCCAAGCTCTGTAAAGGACCTTGGAATACTCATCTCTAATGATCTAAGTGCTAGAGCCCACTGTAACTACATAGCCAAAAAGGCATTAAGAGTTGTTAATCTAATTCTACGTAGCTTTTTCTCTGGTAATATCACACTACTAACTAGAGCATACAAAACATTTGCTAGACCTATACTTCAATACAGCTCAGCAGTCTGGAACCCACATTATGTATCTGATACTAACACAGTTGAGAAAGTCCAGAAATATTTCACAAGAAGAGTTCTCCTCTCCTCTACTTGTTCCAGAATACCTTATGCCACCAGACTTGAAATTCTAGACCTAGAAAACCTTGAATTACGCCACCTTTGGTCTGATCTAAGTATAGTATATAAAATCATACATTGCAGTGTCCTACCTGTCAATGAATACTTCAGCCTCAATCATAACAACACAAGAGCACACAACAGATACAAACTCAAGGTTAACCGTGCCAAACTTGATTGCAGGAAATATGACTTCAGCAACAGAGTGGTCAATGTCTGGAATACTCTACCTGACTCTGTGATGTTTTTCCCCAAACCCCAAAAACTTTAACCTTAGACTGTCTACTATTGACCTCACCCCTTTCCTAACAGGTCTGTACGGGATGTGCATAAGCGCACCAACATGCCTACCGTCCCTGTCCTATTGTTTTTTTCCCCCTTATATGTATCCATGTATTCATAGCTATGTTCTTACTTATACCTATTATCTTGTAAGCAATTGACAAATCAAATCAAATGTAAAATGTAAATGACTTGGAGGTCCTCCGTGCCACCTCACCCAACCCTCTACCAGCAACCAAAGCCACCGAAATCCACCAGGTTGGTTGTGCAACCAGGTTGGCTGGCCTACCTCTTGTGGATCTTCTCCTCCAAATTCTCAGCGCAGAAGGCTTTGACCTCATAGTCCACCCCGCAAGCCTAAAAGCAAGAGCGGGCCAGATGTGACGCGAGGCTACAGAGGTGGGGTCAGACTGCAAGACCTCTTACGCTCCCACCCAACTCTTAGGACTCTAGGAAACCACAACCGTCTCAAGGCGAAGCCCCTTCTTTTGGGAAGACCATGAGCAGCACGGATAGTCCTCAACGTAGGACGATGGTTCTTGTTGCTAAGCAAGGCGGTTCATAAGCGAGTCGTCCCCGATTTTACAACCTTTATTGCCATGGTTGTTAAGTGAAACATTCCAGTTGTTAAGTGAATCTGGCTTCCACCCCCACCCCCACCCCACAACTTGGTTTGTTGGAAGGCCACAAATGGTGATCCCGTGACTCCATGATTCTGCCACCATCATAAAAACGTGGTAGTTGCCAAGCACCCAAATTCGTGACAGTTCTAAGTGCGAGGAACGGTTTTAAGTCATGTTTTTGGGTACCGTTGTAAGTTTGAACGGTCACTAAATGAATGGTTTTAAGTCAAAGACTACCTGTATAATCTTTCTTTCATTCTTTCTTTCTTTTTCCCTTCCTCCCTTCTTTCCTCCTCCTCCTCCTCCTTTTCCTCCTCCTCTTCCTCCTCTTCTTTCTTTCTTCCCCGCTTTCCTTCCTTCCTTTCTTCTCACCTTCCTTCCTTCTTTCCTCCCTCCCTTTTCTCTCTCTCTTTCTGCCCTTGTTCTCCCCTTAGATCCAGGTGACTCAAGCAGTGACAGACAGAAATTCAGCAGGTGCAGCCTGCTTTCTTCTTTAGCATTTCTTTCTTTCTCTTTCTTTCTTTCTTTCTTTCTTTCTTTCTTT